AAGTCCGTTGAGACATAGTAGACTCAGGGTATTAAATCATCGTATTCAAGGGGTTAAGTCATCGTACTCACTGGAATAAACTCACTTTATTGGCTAAGTAATCAGCACTGTTCACACTTTTCTTGACTGACTTACTGATATTCACTTTCCAAGGTATTGCTGGGCGTGGGAGTTTCTAAGGGTAACACTAGTGACTAGTCATTCTCTCGTTCAGCGTTGCTGGTCACCTTCTTGTATGTTTTTTCCTCCTGCCTGTGACCGCTTCGGTGGTCAATCAGTCTTGTCCTCCTAGTCATTTACTGTACAAGTTCTTTAATCAGTATTTCCTTTTTATTTATTTTTATTTAATCAGTCTTTTTCTATTACATTTTCCACCGTCATTATTAAAAACCTTATTTTTTTATTTCCCTTCATTTTGATTTCCATTCGTTCATTTGTCGGTTGGTGTCGTTCTCACAGTGTTGTTAAATTATATATGAGAAACACTATTGCTTTGTCTTGCAGTTCAAGAGACACAGGATGTTACTCGTTTAAATAACTACAGTAAATTATTGTACGGGTAACAGTAAAATGTCGACACATGACATTGATTTATGAATTTTAGTTTTTTTTTTTATTTAGTCTAAACCCTGAATTCAGTCCCGGAACACGATCGTTAGTCTCGCCCGGTGTATTATATTGTTGTAGTAACTGTAGATTATATACAGTATATATATATATATATATATATATATATATATATATATATATATATATATATATATATATATATATATAATAAAAGGTGTCTGTCCTTGAGTGTGTTTGTCTGTCTGTCTGTCCCAGCCATTGCTCCAAAGCGGAAGCAGTTAGGGACTTGAAATATTACATAATTATTACCTGGGTCCCAAGGTTAAATTATCTGCGTCCCATGGTTATGCAACTTGGTATTTCTATTGACCACGGACCCCCGAGTCAGGGAGGGCAAACTGTGACAGTCAAGGTTAGGTTATGATTAACCATCCTAACGCTAACCTAACCTTACTTAATCTAACCTAAACAAAACTATCATAACATAAGCTAGCCTCCCCCCCCTCATGAAAAAAGCTATGGAGCTAATCACACAATCCATCTAGTGTCAGTACAGGTAACCGAGTACCTGTAGAGCTGCCATGTTGGGTGGGGTCACACTAGACAACACCCTCCTTACACGTTGACCCAAGAGAGTATTGAACCCAAGTTACAGTGGTGAGAGGCAAGTTGGACATGTGTACCAAGGAAAGCTTATACTTCTATCATACACAGTACCTTAGTGTGTGTTTGTGTTCATATTTCCGATTAAATACCTGATAAATTGTAGGGGGGGGGGGGTGTTGCCAGTTAGGATTGTCTCTTTTGAATGAATTGGCCAAGATCAAGTCGTGCTACAGTAATATTTAAGGAGACAAGACTTCTCTCTGATTGCAATGGCGAAAATTTTCGATTATCGAACTCCCATGAGATTTTGCATTGATATATCCAAGCAAAATATTTAGTGAAAACCCATTTCTATTTGTTGGAGTTATGTGTGTAGTGTTCATGGTGTTCATGTCTCACTAACGTCGGTAGAACTAATGGGTAGACAGAAGACATTTGTTAATACCCCCCCCACCCTCATCCCCTCCCCAAGACCCCCTCCTCGGGGACGACGGAGTGTAAAAATTGCATCTCATGGAGGATCACCGGAACTTGGCTTCATGCTACACACAGTAGAAAAAAAAAATATTTTGGCAGGGAGTGACGCCTGTGACTGAAAGACTGAGATGATTACGATATTTTCAGGTGTCTGTGCGAATTATGAACTCTCTCTAAGCACACAAATTACAGCGTCCATTTATTTTGTTAACACAGATATAAGGTCTTGGAATGAGTGCCTTGTCACCCGTTAGGGAGTGTTGTAGATAATTATAGCTTACAGAGCAGCATAACTGGCTATTTTAGGAAGTATTCACAGGAACGTGAATGTCAACTCTTGAAACCGAACCCACATTAAAAGGCACAAATTGTTATTAAAACAGTATAGTGCACTTTTCGATTCCTACCAATATCCTCTTCAGTTCTGGGTGCTAGAGTGAGTCAGCAGTATACGCACATGTAAACAGGATATCAGTGGGCATCAGTAATGTAATGTTTTGATAAGAGTTTCTGTCTTTTAACGTGGGTTAAATATCTGTAGCTTGAATAACCCTCGTGATAGCAGGTGGTGCGGTGACTGATGTGTTAAACACTGACGTGACAGTGAGAGGTGACTCAGGACTTTGTTCACTCACAGGGGTTGTTATTACTTCCGGCGGGCGGTCAGTACCGTGGCAGCTGTCAGGTGTTTTTCTGTCACAATAGTTTATTTTATGGTGGGACACACGACTGGTGCTCAAGGCCTTCTTCGAGCTGCACAGGTCAGTATTTATACTAAACTCAGTGGTGTTTAGCGTGTGTTTACATACTGACCATGACAACGCTAGCAAGTTTAATTCAAAGTTTTACAATAAAAAGTTTATTTATTTTAAGTCCTTCAACTAATTTCATAAATATGGGTCCAACTCATGGGTCATAACAGAAAACAAGAATGGCAGATAATATTTTTTTTTGTCTGAATAAAATTGCACTTGAAAAAATCCCTCGTGTCAAAAAATCCATCAATCAGAACAAGAGAGACGGGTAAGGGACAGATTACACACAGCTAGACACTCAAGGGTTGTGATAACTACCCGGTACCGTGTTGTAGAAATCTCTGTCTTCCTCAATGACCCTGTGAAGACCAACAAGAGGTGCGCCGCAGCTGTGGGGATCAGGGCTGTCGTGAGCCAACAGGTTCTGATCCCCGTTAGGAAAAATTCTTACGTTCAACTCCTCAAGCCGTGACTGTGGGTAAGTGGATAAACGAACGCGTCACTCCCTTAGCTTACTGGTGTTAGCTGTGTGTGTTATAGACGAAGGCCTTGCTTTAGTTACCCAGCTCATCACGTTTTGTAGTTAGCCATAATAACGGTTGAAGTCTCTGTGAAACTTTGATGTCATTTCAGTCCCCAAGTTTGCCGTAACACCTTAAATAAATGCATTAAAGATTTTATGCTTACAGTTGGTGGAGCATTTTAATGAGGCTAATTACTATTACTGCCAAACCCTTGTGTGCGGTAAACTGCATGCATGAGTCACGTGTACACCATATCTGGCCATAAACCATCAGGTAGATCATAAAATTATAAATTAAATAGTTTCATATAAAACCCAACCTAGACTATAACCTTACCTAAAGCACTTTAGGTATAATTTTACGATCTTTTGATATTAAATGACGCCCTGAATGAAACAGAGCAAATATTACCATATACAAATAAATTTTCAATGAGTTGCAGCAATAAAAAAATATCCCTATTTTACACAAAAGCCTGTTCATCGAGCTTATGGCACCATGAACCTCCAATAGGGGACTACCCGTGCTTCGTAAATGATCAGAGTAACGTTTTACCAAATCCGGCTTCGAAACACGAGTTTCCATATATATTTCATTAATTGCACTTCATGACTGTTAACACTGATCACATGGTATTACCGGGCTTCCGGCCACGTCCCGGATATATCTATTATTACGTCAGTAAGGCTTTCGTAACGAGAAATTCCAAAATCTTTAATTGGTTCAACTTTTTCTCCCTCACACAATTCGTCCTTTGTTTCTCGCTCACCCACGTTCAATGGCAAGTGTTCTTATCTGTTTCCCCTTGCGTCTCACGTCAACCGGTGGAAAGAAACTATCCTTGGTTAAATGGATATATTGTTTGCCATTGTTTGTATACCTCTGCACTGTTTGTGTACATGCTGTGAACTTGCTGTATAAATACCTATCAATCTCCCTTACCCTCCTGGGAGCAATTAATTCCTTAGGTGCAAATTTTTTAGTCTTTAAACAAAATGAAAATCGCAATATCACAATCTACGCGAGGTTATTGATCTTTATTATTATAATTCCCACCACTTATCAGCTTACTAGACGGTCGGGCGGTTTTTTTTTTTTTTATTGGGCACCCCCCTACATCCTTGTGTAAGGTGAAGCGCAGAAGCGTTTTACAGCGCCCAACAGGGAAGCATGCTAAGTTCATGCTTGCCTTTATGTCTCAAGAGTTAAGGGCGTGGAAGCCTGAAGAGTCAAGGGCGTAGAAACCTGAAGAGTCAGTGGTTTATGTCATCAAGTTATTGGAAGCTCCAACAACTCCCTGAATACGAATTCGTAACTTTCGACTTGCAACAGGTACCTACTTTACTGCTAGATGAACAGGGACTAATGGGGGCTAGGAAGTAAGGGTCGGGCGGTTGATCTCTCCAAACTGCGATGTTTGGTATTGCAATACTGGATACTATCCTTCTCACATCTGAACCCGTGACCACAATGATGAGAGGTAAGCGTCCTACACCCATCACCCCCCCCCCCAGTATATGTTTGTGTTTACTGATAAATCTCTTCTCTTTATGATGCTCAATTAAGAGATGTAGCGGCGGAGTGAATACAGCGCTTGTCTTTTGTCCTAAGCGTCACTTGTTACCTGGAGGGTTAGGATAGGTTAGGTTAGCGTTAGGGTGTGTAATCATCAGATGAAATAAATTCCGTTGTCTAATGTTCATATTTTCCGTATGGGCTACAACATTCCTACCATGATAGCACCTGGAGGTATACAAACACGTCACCCAGCATCATTAATACACCTATTGATGAGTATAATTTAATGACCTTCTTGTGACCTTTACCGAAGGTCAAGAGGCGACATCATCCGTAAGTATAAAAACCACACCGCGTGATGACACGGCGTATTTTATTCTCTCTTGTGTTTGAAGTAATTTGGTTTAGTCATTATTGAGAGTCTCGTTGTACAAAAAGTGGTGATGAGCAGGAGAGATGACAGGATGGTGGTGGTGCTGATGGTGGCAGTGGTGTTGATGGTGGTGGTGATGGTGACAGTGGTGGTGGTAACAGTGGTGATGGTGACAGTGGTGGTGTTGGTGATATTGTTACTTGTGGTCATAGGAACAACGTTGGTAATGTTTGGTGAGGATGTTTATAGTGGTGGTAATGGTGACAGTGCTGCTACTGCTGCTGCTACTGGTGCTTATGATTGGTGACAATAAAGTAGCTGTGTGTTGACAACGTATTACTTAAACAGTTACATCGTACAGGTAATAATTCCAACCTTGTCATTACTTTAAAACACCTGTGATAAAAAATAGTAATGATGTGTTTCTTATCATAGATCCCCCCGTAGCTCTTCTCTTAAGGACATAAAACACATGCTTTTCCTGACTTGCTATTCTTGAAGCATAAACATTTAAATTCTAATTAAGTAAATAAGCAACTTGTTAAATAACATTAAAAAAGATGAAATACAATATAAACATCGATGACTGTTTTTAGAATAATTTATATCCAATGAATAAATAACTATATTTGTGCTGGTGCATTAAGGGAATCAGTACATGGGTGGAGTGGGTGGGTAACACACTGCATGGGATAAGGCGCGGGTTCTATAGGAGTAAGTGGAACAGGCATGATGGGAGGGTGTAAGTGGGAGAGACGGTGGCTGACAATGCATCTGCTACAAAGGGTGACGGTGCGTTGATAACAGTGCGGGTGGATGTGTTGCAATGCAGTTGAGCGTTGATGTAGGTGCGTGTGGAGGTGGTCGAGCATGTATTACTTGTCGTCATCTGGGGTATGGTCCTGACAGAAGCCGTGGAGGCAGAAGGACGAGGGCGGTGGCGCTAGTGACCCCAACACCTGCAACATGAGGTCAGAGGTCAAACACATACACACTGATACACAATATTAGTTCATCACACACACATACAATTCCCATAAGCAAAGTGAAAAAAAAAATAATATTCATAGAAATCCAAAATTCGGTACCCGCTGGTTGTGGCTCAGAGTTGCCAATTTTTCTCGAGCTTCGAAGGTTATCGATATTCAGTTACCACTCTGTCTTCTTTGATAATAATACATGTCGATCAAGATGATTTAAGAATTTCATATTACCTGTTGGCTCGTAATATGACCTAATTTTTGATGATGTAACATGCTGGTATCACCCACGAATGAGATGATATACCTTTCGTTTATACTCCTGAGTTATATGTTATATCTGGAGTATAACTAACATGTTACAAGTTGGATAGAGAGAGGTAGAGCTAGAGATGTGTTAGCCCACCTGCATGAAGTCCTCGACTTGTTCCCCGGAGCTGAAGAAGACTTCACGACCTTGGGTCTCAGTGGAAGCTTCTTGTGAGCCCCGACCTTCAGAGTGGCTCCCGGCACCCGCTACTCCTGTAAAACACACATTTTACTCCTCACCCTGGTCATCACCTCCCTCACCCTCGTCATCTCCTCCTAACCCTGGTCATCACCTCACTCACCCTGGTCATCACCTCACTCACCCTGGTCATCACCTCATTCACCTTGGTCATCACCTCACTCACCCTGGTCAACACCTCACTCACCCTGGTCATCACCTCATTCACCCTGGTCATCACCTCACTCACCCTGGTCATCACCTCATTCACCCTGGTCATCACTTCACTCACCCTGGTAATCACTTCACTCACACTGGTCATCACCTGACTCACCCTGGTCATCACCTCACTCACCCTGGTCTCTCCGTAGGGTGGTTGGGAGGGTGTGGTTGGGGTCGCCGTGATCCAGCGGCAGTTCCCTCCCTTCTGTTGACTTCTTGTCGCCGAAGCTGACAGGGGAGCGCCTCAGGTCGTGGCCAGTTTGCCGAGGGTCGTTTCTGTGACTAGTGGTGTCGTCCGCGGGCCCAGGGAAGCCGCCGAACTGGAAGGCGTCTTGGCCTGTGTCAGAGGAGTAATGGAGTGTTGAGTGATCATGGCCCGAGCGTCTCTATGTACTGAGAGTAGCGACATGGAAGATCCAGGAAAATTAGATCACGTGATCGCTGGGCGCCATTTTGTTTCCACCAGTGCACAGTAAGTCAACTTGATTTTGCGTCAGTTACCATCTTTAGATGGATGGATGCGGCAATAGGTCAGACAAGGGATTTAGATGCACAGATTCCGAAAGAAAGAAAGTGTGGGAAACGAAAGTCAGTCGTGTGGGTTGGAAAGGCACACCATCATCATTTTTGTATCGGGTAAATTTTATGGCACAGCACTGTTAAACACTCAGAGAGATGCTTCCTCCCCCTTTACCTTAAAATTAGTATTGTGGAAAGTAAAAGTGACCAATATCCTCATGAGCAGCAGATGATGGCCTGTAGTAGTGTAAGATACTGGAGGAAGTCTAACACTATGCTCTCTTTATTTCCACTATTATTGTTATAATTATTTTGATTAAAGTACAGGATATATGCAAGTTATCAGTTTTAAAATGGTACTCTGCAATACTGAATTGTAGTACCGTAGGCTATTTTAGTCTATGATTGAACCAAGTTATCATTACACTGTTCTGTGAACGACTCAGTGGAAACAAGATGGTGTAAAATCCGTGCTGCCACTACTCTCTGTATACAGCGACTCTACATGACCGTGTCCGAGAGATAGATACTTTGTAGAAGTGAATTATGGAGGAGAGCTGAAAAGAGAGAGAGAATAAATTGAGAATAACAGGTGATGGATAGAAAAAAAACATCAATGTTGTATCTCGACTCGAGGACAGGGGTGGAATGAGATGAGACTTTACAGCGAGACTCCTGTCGCTAGTCTCACTCGAATGTAAAAATACTTGACTGTTAAAATAGATCAGTAAACTTACCCAGCACATGGGAAGGGACATTAGGGTCGCGGGTGATGGTGTTAGCTGGTAGTGTTTGTTTACGTGAGCCAGCTGGAGTTCGTGTGGGCACGTTGATCCAGTCCTCACTCGGCCTCTGTCGCCTCACCAGGTATACAGACACCTCCTCCTTCGTTGGCTGAAACAGGATAAGTATGGGGTGCACAATAAACTAGTTGGTCTTCGGGGAAATTCAGTTGAAACACAAACAGTCGGTATGACTCAGCCACCTCATGCTCAGAATACCAATCAGGTACACTAGAATCCGGGTCTATTGTTACGTCACCTCGGAAAAAAAGTTGGTGAAACTCCGTTTAACTCCGCTACTACTTTATTTTTTTTCTAGGAATTATCTAAGGAATTTTTACAAGTGGGCCATAAATAAAAAGGCCATACAGTACATACATAATACAGTATATTGATTATGGTTCATTTACAACAAAACTATGGAAAATACCATCTCATAAAACCGAAAGAAGCATTTTATTAAAGATGTTTAAATCATGAGCATTTTATACAATTGGGCAACTGCTGCGCTCCGGACGATGACGGTGGAAGAACTTAAAGGAAAAAAAATATTCACGTTGTGGAGACACGGTTTCGCGGGCCATTTGAAAGTCGCACGCGATCTGTTTCGTTATTCTTAAAACATGGTAAGAAACTAGAGTGAGTTGTTTACTTGTGTGTAAAATAATTGTTTTTAAAATACCAACTGACTAGTGGGCCAATAAAATACAACTAATAGGCCAAATTAAATGGTAGTGGGCCAAATGTTAAAAAAAGTCCTAGTGAAGATTAGACACTCCAGTTTATAGTAAACTGGAGTGTCTAATGAAGTAAACTGTTTACTTCATCTGAAAAATAAACAAACACACTAAACGCTAATCTTCCCCCGGGTAGCGTTAGGTTGTTCAATCATAAGGTGAAGTAATCTAGGCTGATCCGTTTAGTTTAATACATAGAAAGTCACATTTTAAACGTAACTAAACCCATCTTATCGTAATTTAACCAACTCAAAACAGAATCTTATTCCATCCTAACCAAAGCAAACCCGTTGTTTTTAGTATAACAATTCGGGTTCGGTTCTGGTATCGGGTCCAGGGATTGGTTGGTATCATTTCAATCGGCTTACCGTAATTGGGAGACCGAAGACCGGGGCCTTCTCCGGGTTGCGGGGGGCGATGGCTGAGGTCTCTCGCTTCTGCTGGGTGTCGACGGTTGTGTAGGGCAGCACCAGAACCTGAGGGGTGACAGATACAGGTGAGGTACTTCTGGGGTGTCATAGGAAAATGTGCTTCTGGGGTGTCATAAGAATAGTACTTCAGTGGTGTCACAGGAATGTGCACTTCTGGTGTGTCATAGGAAAATATATCACTGTATCATAGAATTATGTATTTCAAAGTGTAAATGTAATGTATTCTAGTAATAGGTTAATATATTTCAAATTATGTCACGGGTTAATGTTTCATGCAAGGTAATAGGCTAGAGCAATATATTTCAAATTGTGTACATTAATAAGGTAAAGTATTTAAGGCTAAGGATTTTAAGCTAATATTTTTACTGCTACATACTCTTAATAAGTTAACATAAGTAATATTGTATTTGTATTGCAGGTATGTGAAATAGTGATTATTATATCGTACTTGGAGGAAGATCTGGTTAAACAAAAACGACCTGGCTGCACAAAGGACCCTAATGATAAATACTTCTCCTAGCTGATGATGTAGTGCACCTTACTGGTTGACTTAACACACACACACACTGGGCGCTCACTAGGCTCAGCCATGTCAATATTGTTGCTGTTCTTCACATATATATGTATTTATCTGGCTAAATACACTGTTTCAACGTCAAAAAATTACATCAAATGTATATTCAGTCTCTACATTTTAATTAGATACGTTTACTTGGCACTAGACTAGAAATTTATATATATATATATATATATATATATATATATATATATATATATATATATATATATATATATATATATATATATATATATATATATATATATATATATATATATATATATATATATATATATATATATTTTTTTTTTTTTTAATTCCGTGCATTAACTTTGTCTCTTGACTGCTGCAAAATAGAAATATATCTACCTAAGGTAGACTGGCAGTGAAATTTCCATGCAAATTTTCGACGTATGATTTTCAGTTTCAACAAAATCAACCAGTTAGGTGTGCCCTTACATCGTCAGCTCTGAGGAATAGTGATCGTGCAATCCGGTGAGAATCTTGGCCGTTGATACCTTCGTTCAGAATAGACTTAATTAATGAAAATAAGTTAAGCTGTAGTATATTTCTAGTAAGGTAATGAATTAATATATTTCTAGTTCTCTGTAAATAGTGGACTAATATATTTCCAATTTTCAATGGTTTATTATAAAATTTCTTCCTTTAGCTTTGTCAACTCACAAACATGCTATGAGAGGAAGGAGGCAAAACTAATGTCGGGGCCAGAATTTTGATGCTTAAAATCCGGGTATGGCTGGTTAGGTTATATTAGGTTGATGAGTAAGATAAGTTGAGTGAGGTTACAGTATAAGGTTACATTATCAGGTTAGGGTAGGTTAAGGACAGGTTAGGTTCAGTTAGGGTTAGATTAGGTTCAGTTAGGGTTAGATTAGGTTCAGTTAGGGGTAGGTTAGGGTAAGCTTTGGTTTGAGTAGTTTAAGCTTTAGGTAGGTTAGGTTAAGCCTGGGGAGGTTAGGACAGGCCAGGCTTGGGGTAGGTAGGTTAAGTCAGGATCCGGATATATTTTAGAATTTAGGACTGGTCTGAGCGGATCTTGGAGGAACGTACGTCATAGTCAGCAAAGTCCCCAGAGCCAGCTGGGTTTTCACGACTCTTTTGACCCGCAATCCCTGAAACACACCAAGATGATGAGTGTGAGCGCGTCAGTAAAACATATTAAATCAACAGATATATAGGTAAATATAGTTAAGGAAAAAATATATAAATTGATAGAATAAAAGAAGAAAGACGAATAAATGAATCTTAGTACCACTGTCTATAAATGGTGGGCTACACCAGTTAGAGCGAGTCTACTTACCTACAGGCTGGGTGAAGTGATGGAGAGGTGAGGGGTTTTCGTCTACTTCAGTGACGGCGAAGGGCCCCGCTGTGTTCACCTGACACACAAACGTGCGCGTGCCAGGCGTCGGCGAAATATTTAAAAAATATGAGAACAAGTATAGGCTCTTAGTAAAAAATACAACTACAGAAAGTTCCGTCTCTTGGCAGTACCCTAGAACTAGTTCATTGTTCTAAATACCATTAGCAGTACCTAAAATCAAGTATATAAGTAAAGTACAAATGGTGGCTGAATCAACATGACTCTTAATTATCTCGGTCACAGATTCAACAAAAGACAAATTTAACATTTGTTAATGGTAGATTGGCCTGGAGGAGACCATCTCCCAGTGACAAGTGTGGAAAGGAAAATGGTGTTAAACCCGTTGCCTTCATTTGTCTTAAATTATAACAATTCCCTACAGGTTTTGTTCTGGACACAACACAGTCCATGATTACTGACCTCCGGCAGGGGGTTCCAAGGCCCTTCTATAGGAGGCGTTTTGGTGATATCCACAGGGAAGTTGCTGGTTGAGGCCTGGGAGACTGCCTCAGAGGAGCTGGTTGCTGAACTGGAGGCTGCGAGTGGTTGGTGGAAGATAGCGGAAGATGAGGAAGTTCGAAAAGCGGGTCTGAGGGTGGCAGATATACTATCGGAGTATAACAGGGTCTGGAACGAGGTTGGTCTGGGTGTGGGACCAGTTGGTCCTCCGGCAAAGGAGGGGCGGCGGACGTCAGGTCGCTGTAGGGGTGTGGGTGTTGCGACGCGGGTGTTTGAGGCCTGAACATCACCACGACCATTCCGGAAAAAAGGAAAGTTAATTATGTACACTGGTAAGAGGAACCATTCCAATAGATATAAAATGATTATATAATATTCATTGTAATATTTATTTTACAAATTTATACAGTACACTGTAGCCAAAGCCACTACACTGAAATAAGAAAACTACACACACCTCTGTAACAACCTTCTCTCCAAAGGGATTTTTGCCTTTGAAAATGTGAGAAAAGAATTCGTCGCTGCCGTCAAAGGGCAGGAAGCCAATAGTAGTGCCTCCCGATGGTCCTATTTCCTCCTCGCTGAAGCCTGGCAGTGGTTCAAACGCATCGCCCGTCAGTTTGGTCTGGAAAGGTGATAGCTTTGACTGAGTGTCGAACGAGCTGTCTGACACCTGGTTCAAGTCCTGAGAGAGCGGTATTTCCACTCCGATCTCCGCAGACAGAGGCTGGTGGGTAGAGAGAATCTGACGCTTGGCAGGCGGTGCTTCAGTACTACCATGGGATTTTGTTTTAGACAGTTGGGAGGACGCTGCTTCGTATTTCTGTATAGTTTGAGTTATCTGTGAGGGCACAGATGTTTTTATCTTCGTTGCAGACTTAGTTTTTGAGGCTGTTGTTGTTGTTGATGGTTGTGGGGGTGGCGTTCGTTGTGGCCTCGCTGAGGAGAGATTTTGATCCTGAAGTGATGATGTTGAGGGAGACGACATCTGTTGATTGTCTTGTGATGGTTTTGACTGAGATGATGGAGTTTGTTGTTCGTGTGTTGATAGTGGCAGGGGTGAGGATGGTGACTGCTGGTCGTGTCCTGATGATGGTGACTCTCCTGTAAATTCTGGTGATAGTGATGGTGCTGAATGTGATTCCATAGTGAGGTCTGGGGATAATGTTGGTGATGTTAGCGATTGTTGTGTGTGTTCTGGCGATGGTGATGCTAGCGACTGTTGTTCATGTCCAGATGATAGTGATTGTTGATTATTATCTAATGACAACAATGGTAATTGCTGGGGTTGCTGATTGGGCTGTGAAAGTGAGGAAGATGAAATAGTTTGTGTGTTGTGCTGTAAATGAGTTGTGGTAAAGGAATTTGGTTGTTGAGGAGGTTGGGACGGTTGCTGCTGTGTTAAATCAGTGTGTTGTTGGTGTTGGTGTTGTTGGTGGTGATGGTGTTCTAAGGTTGTAGAAATATGGCCCCCGTTGTTATTGATAAATTTAGGCAAGTCTCCGGTGATAAAAAACTCGTTTTCTTTTTGGATTTCTATTGAATTATCTAGGTTGGGCTCTACACTCTGCGAGAACTTGCCGGTGACGTCAACGGTGTGAAAGAGGTCTTTGATTGGAGGAGGTGACATGAAGTCGTTTATTTCGACACTCTCTGACGATGAGTACGGCGACGCCGCGTTCTCGTCTCCGTATAATTCTGGAGGTGGTTGGAAGCTGGTAGAGAGGGACGAAGTTGGCTGATTGGCTAAGGAAACTTGAATAAAATTGCCACTGTTATGCTGGAAACTACTGCCATCGTCACCGTCTTCAAAGCTGATGTATACAACGTCCTCGGGTCTTGGTTCAGAGAACTCTGAAACATCGACGTTGACGGTGGAGATAGAGTTAGCGTCTCCCACATACTCTGGCGTTTCCAGGTCCGCGGGGTAGTCACTGTATGGAGGATGTCTCAGGTTTGCCTGTATCAGATGAGGCGATACACCGGAGGGGTGGTAGATGGCGGGTGGGGGCGGAGGGGCCCTGGGAGGGTTGCGGGTGTAGGCGTGTCTCCACACCACAGGCTTGCCTTTCTCACGCCCCCTGTGGCCTCCGCGGGGACGCTGTCGCCCGCCTACAAAGGGGGCGATGATGGAGGTAAACAAACTACGACTCTCACTCTTCCTGTGGGGGCTACCCTCCCCTGGGCTCTCTTCAGAAACTGGCCACACCCATTTCTCGACCTCAGAAGACGCCGTCGTACCCATCGTCCTCGTGTTATGGGGAGCAGCCTCTTGCCCCCAAGACTTGTGTAAGACACGAGGCACGGCAGCAGAGAGGGCAGCCATCACACCCAGCTGACCCAATGGTGAGGCTGTAGTCGATACACACAACCCCGCCACCACACATACGTCAACCTGCAATGTTAACATGAGCGAGTTAATACATCGTAATTAACGCCTGCCAGTAAGCGTGCGTTCTCCTGTCGACAGCTGTACAGCAGGGCGGTTGTTTGTTTAGTCCCTGTTCGAGTCCATGTCTGAACACAACACCCTCATACAACTCATACAACATACTAAGAAATATAGTCCTTGTTACACACCCCTCTGAGTCACTCACTCCCTCAATCTGATCTAGCCGCCTCCCTCTTCCCTCTCACTCCTCGGGAGTCTCCCACACTTAACTGCTGTGTACACATTCATGTTTAATTCTTGTGGCATCCATTATCTGCTGATTCTAAGGACAACTAGGAACACCAGCCTTCAGCCTCCAGAATTTTGGGTTAACTTTATTATCATCGTTTTGACGGCCCAAAGAGACGTCGTGTGAAAAATAAATGGTTTAGTGGTCCTTTCGATAAAGCTTCGCCAATGTCTTGCTGGTACGGGGTACCACAGAACACGAAACGGTGATTTAGAGAAAACGTTATAGATAGTGGATGGGACACTGTTGTATTTTCAATAACGCGTAGCCTCGGATTTTTAAAGATTTATAATGGAGTATTAAATTTTCATCATAATTACATATATAAAAAAATAATTGACTCACTCAACTACAGTACTTAAATAATGTTCAAAATATCATCAACGTTGCACTGAAACAATAGCAACTAAGGGAATAAATAGACTTAGTACCGTTAGTTTAATACCTATAATAGTTACGGTTTGGAAATATAAAGTACAAGTACATCCTTTAAGAATCCTGGACCAGGTCTTGTTTAATGATTAATGTGTAAACCATACATCTTTTCCCTAAATTATCTCTCGCTTCCTTAATCGCCCCCCGGCATTCCTTGTTTCGCGTATCTTCTTTGTCTTTCGCTGCCAATAATTGTTCTTATACAGCTATATACTGTTTTTGGTGGAGGCACAAATGAGCTTTCAAACACCTGACAAAGCCATGAGATGCTTATTTCCAGTAGAGTCCTTATTGCAGCAGCATCTGGTGTTCTTAGGCCCAGGCGGTCACCCATCCAAGTACTATCCAGACCCAACGTTGCTTATACACACACATACACACACACACACACTAAATTAAGTGTATGGTGCAAGCGTATGACAAAAAAAAACACCTCTCACACCTGCATCACAACTGTGTCTGCTTGACCAACACTCGTTTGTCTAAAAATATTTGAATTGAGAGAGAGAGAGAGAGAGAGAGAGAGAGAGTGTGTGTGTGTGTGTGTGTGTGTGCAGGAGTTAAGAAACGGAGAAACAGCAAATAAGCAAAAAACAAAAAAAAATACATAAGGATATTAAAATATTGAGAACAAAATACAGAGAATGAGATATTTGATTAGTACCTCGCATGGTATCAATAGCCATCTATAGTGGGCCAATAATATCTTATTTCTTATCTAACTCAACACCACTTAAGTGATAGTCATTGATTGGCCGGCTAAGATCATGATACAGTTCCTCCCCAACACACTCTATTCCACCACTTATAAACATCCGCCACCTACCAACATTATATATTTACCTTTATCTACCACCATCCACCAATGTTTATTTACTGTTTATGCCATCATACACTACAGTTTATCATTACCTACCACAATCCATCAAAGTTTATCACTAACTACCACCATTCATCGACATTCACCACTACCTACCACCACCCATCCATCAACATTCACCTCTTCCTACCACCATTTATTCACAACAAGCCACTAACATTATCAAAGTCCCAATAAATGTATATATCTTGAGGTGTCTAATACAACAAGTAGGAACAGACAGTGAGACACAGCAAAAGTACAGTTCTGCAAGACACTGTTCACTCGTTACAAAATTTGATGTATGGCCTACAGCTGTTACCCCGACCTTTGACAGAGAATTGCAGGGTGATCACACCACTTTTTTATTACTTTACTTTTATCCTCTTCGCCACTGATCGGCTTGTTAGCCGCTTGGGCGATCGGTCACGTCTCTTTTCATTTATATTCTTCACCAAAAGATCGGCTCGCTAGCCTCCCGGGCGATCGGTCACGTCTCTGTCACGCACTGTTGGCAAATACTGGGCATGTACATTATCATTAAGGATGGTGTTCTTAGATCAGTAAGGCCCTTATTGTATGAAGCCTTGAATTACAGTATATTCTTTATGCTATTAAAAACAAGGTGTTTAAATCACTTACTTTAACTTATTGTTGGAATATGAACACACTCACACACACACACACACACGTCGTTACACAGGTGAAGCACACTGCTCTCTGTCTCGTAACGATCCCTGGGATTATAATATGCAACATTCCTTCCTTGTTACAACAAAAGCCAGAGCATGTGACAGTGATAACAGGGTGGATGGTGTCACGGGACACTGGCAATACACTCAGCTCTCATCAGTAACGTAAAATGACGTAATAGTTTAATATAGATGACTATGAGAGGTGTGGTTATTAATGCTAGACAAGAACTTAGAGCAAGTTAGGTGAGGGTGCAGGCGGAGGATGTTTTTGAAGAATCGAAGTGGAGTAAAATTAAACGAAAGAGAAAAATTTACTCATTGTTGGATGAATTCATAGATCTCCGAATTACAGCTTATTAAAACAAAGGAACTTAAGAGCCTTAATAGACAACGTAACATTGCTCAACTATAGCCACCCCCTTGAAATGGGGCACTTCAACTATGGCGACATCGACTGGCGGAATGAAATTACACCAAATGACCTTGATAATCCAGCCACTCTTTTTGTAGAAATCTGAGAGAAAATGTCCTATTTGAACATGTTAAAAAAGTTCTAGAGACGGATTGCAAACGAAACGAAGGCAAACCTTAAAGTGTTCTACCGTTAGGCAAAACAAAATTAAAGAAACATATGGACGTATCAGACCTAAAACTTGAAGATAGTAGTTCCAAAGACTCGGGTTAAGAAAAGGAGAAGACTTGAAATAATTATTTTCCTCGGCGTTCACAAGAGTGGATGCGAACAACCTCCTGTGTTTGAGGAAAATCGGTTTAACATTGTACAAGCATATTGAGTTTTCAGAAAAGTGTATTGGAAACGCCCATTTCTTTGTTCTAAACTCCTGTTAGGTCAAGCTTGGCTTAGACTAAGTCAAGTCAGGTTAGGTTTGGTTACATATTCTTGGAATAGGTTTTGTTTGATTCGATTTTGTTAGGTTAGGCTACTTTATTGTAGATTAGAGCTGACTAATTTAGATTGAGTAAGAAAGCGCACCTAATATAATTTCAGAGCCATATATATGTATGTATATATATATATATATATATATATATATATATATATATATATATATATATATATATATATATATATATATATATATATATATATATATATATGTATATAAGCAACTTATAAGTCAGTTTCTAAGCCAGTAAGAGTGATAACAAGTTGCACAATTATAAAAATGTCTTTACAAAGATTAAGGATTGTAAACTACAGTATATTAACTCATCATTCATAGTCTAGAGATTATTATTATTATTATTATTATTATTATTATTATTATTATTATTATTACTATTATTATTAATGTTATTATTATTATTATTATGTACTACTGACTATTATAGACAAGGTTTAGTAGAGCACTCCGCCAGATGGTCCTTAGTTGCTTACCTATTGGCAACAGAAAATTGGAGAGAAACTGAAAACGAAACTTAAGAGAGAGTGTGGTGGTTGACCTGGTGATATCCACTAATTTCCTCACCCACATCGAAATAATGGCTATAATAAATCCCGTGTCAGACCAAGTAAATATTGAGGGCATAAAACACGGTCAAGAGCGAATAGATACATAACAGATGGAATTTAGAACACTGTTCAATTCGTTAACGGTAAATTTCCGTGGAAGAAGCTTTTAAGCAATTATGCTGCTGCTGAAAATTTTATATATTATATCGGTTGGCGACATTTAGTGGTACGACTGACGAAGAATGTAAAAATTCTGTTCATTGACGAAATATTCATCGTGATGAAGGCCAAATATTGCGCATGACCACAGTCTGATCATCTAGTGCTGCTTTGCACAGGACACCATAGTGTGACAGAAAAAAATTGGGAATGGGAAAAAAATGGAAAAAGGTAAAAAAAAAAATCACATCTGCAGCATTGTTACAAATCACTGTAACACTAAATTATTGTAAAACGGTAAAATATAAGTTGTAACATGAATTGTAACACTACGAATCATCGTAACACTGTTAGAATCATTAGAACTGTAAAAATCATTGGAACACGGAAAATATAATTTGTGATGTCAACAACACCAATGAAACAAGTCCTGAGGTCAATGACACTGGACGAAAATTACGATGTGGCGACATAAGTACAGTCTCTTTCGGTAAATTACTGATACCGTACTATACACCTTCCTGTATACTGCACACACCCGGCCCTGGATTCTACCCTACATTTATCCCCTAACTGGTGATATGAAAACACACCTATGCGGATTGATGCAACACAGAGTTGGATTCTCAGTCATACGTTAATTCTTTTTCCTAACTGGCATATGAGAACGTATCTTATTGCATCAATACGTAGCTTTAACACAGAGATGGATTATCAAAGTCTTTGCTTTTATATATATATATATATATATATATATATATATATATATATATATATATATATATATATATATATATATATATATATATATATATATGTGTGTGTGTGTGTGTGTGTACGGTATGTGTGTCGCTTAATAGCGATAATTCATATGTATTTCCTCTTTGCAAAACTTCTGACTGGCTTTGGACGATCATGTAAAATCTACATGTACATACATTATAATAGTGTCATATAAAACCTAACCTTACCTAATCTAACCTAACATCTTCTAACCTGACTTAACCTTACCTAACCTAAGTTTGGTATAAGTTGGTTATCTTATCATGGTAAACAACGTTTTAAATGAAACATGCATATTTGACCAAGAAC